GGCCGCCGCGGCCCCGTCCTTTCTCGCTCTCAAAGGGGGCTGGAAAGCCCGCAGCCGAGGAGGGAGAGGCGCCTGCTCGTCCTCTTAAAGGCGGCTCCCGGGATCCTCAGTCCGGGCCCGTCCGGTGGGCTTTCCGGCCAGGCCTGCGAGGCAGCGACCCCCGGCTCGGTCTCCAGCCTCGCCGAAAGGCCGCCTGTGCTGTGCGGCTGCGCTCCTTTTCTCAACCTGCCGCTGGGCGGAAACAGATCGCCCCCCCGTCGCCGCCCCCCCCCGTCTTTCCCAGTTGGCCTGCGTGCCGCCAAGGCAGGGGCTGCCCGGAGGGAAGCTTCCTTTTTGCCCTGGGCCTGTCTAGAGCAGGGGGCAACCCCAGCGTAGCACCTGGTCAGATCCCCCTTCCAGGGATACCTCCCTCCCTCCAGATCTGTGGTTCCCAACCTTGGGTAACCCGGGTGATGTTGGAACCCTGAGAAGCACAGCCGGTGGTGACCCTGGGAGATGCTGAGGTCGGGGCCTGGCCCGGGCGGGCGGGCGGGAGGGAGGCCTGTGACCACCCTGGAAAATGATTTGCCTTGCAGGTGTGGGCACTGCAAGCGCCTTGCGCCAGAGTACGAGTCCGCGGCTACACGGCTGAAGGGAATCGTTCCCCTGGTGAAGGTCAGTCACTTATTGTGCCCCTGTGCAGATGCTGTTCTCCTTTAAAACACTGCTATGTCTTAGCGGTTGGTAGACTATTCATGTTGTACTTAGGCATAGATGCTGCTGTAGATGGAGGGCTCTTCCTGTTTGGGGGAGGAAGGGCAGGAAAGGCCAAAGTTGCCTGCAGATATTCCCAGTTCCCATTGGTTGAAGTGGGGTTATATGGAACAATGAGATTTTTAGGTATTCATTTACCAAAAAAAAAGGTCTGTTGTGTGTGTGTTTTTTTAGGTGGATTGTACAGCAAACTCAAATACTTGCAACAAATATGGAGTTAGTGGTTATCCAACCCTTAAGATCTTCAGGAATGGGGAAGAATCCGGCACCTATGATGGACCCAGAACAGCCGGTAAGGGTCTGTGATTGACTGCTGGGCTGCCCCGTTGGTCGTGGTGTGTTGGCTTGGTGGGTGAGCTTGGGAAGCAGAGAAAACATTGGTGACGGCAAGCTCTCAAGTCTTGGGAGGAGCATGGCCTGACGTTCTGTTGGGTGTAATGTTAGGTGCTGTCAGGTTGTTCTCAACTTAAGAGGAGGGCCCTGGAAGTTAATGGTTTTTCAGAGATTTGTATTTGTGAAGGCTTTCATGGCTGGGATCTAATGGTTGTTGTGGGTTTTTCGGGATGTTTGGCCGTGTTCTGAAGGTTGTTCTTCCTAACGTTTCCCCAGTCTCTGTGGCTGGCATCTTCAGAAGACAGCACCAGAGCACAGAGTGCTGTCCTCTGAAGATGCCGGCCACAGAGACTGGCAAAACATTGGGAAGAACAATCTTCAGAACACTGCCAAAGAGCCCGAAAAACCCACAACAACCTTTTCAGAGATTGTTTTGCTAATAGACCTCCACGAGTTTTACAATCTAAAGCCACTGACTGGTTCTTTGAGTCAGTCCATCTGGTGCTTGTTTTTTGTGTTGTAAAAAGCACTTCACAAGGAGAGGCTGTGTCTGTTTGATGTGAGGAAAGCGGCATTGGAGCCTGGAAAAGGCCTGCCCCTCAGTTGTGTGTGATTTGTCTCCCTAGATGGAATTGTGAGCCATCTCAAGAAACAAGCTGGCCCAGCCTCAGTTGCTCTCCGTTCTGAAAGTTTTGAGAAATTCATCAGCGAAAAGGATGCTGCTGTGGTGGGTAAGTAGTTGCGGGAGGCGGTCTCTTTGGGCTTCGGCCAGGGAGCCTCTTGGGACTTCTTCCAGTTAGGCCCTACAGCCACCAGTGGGTGGAGTCCCCCCCCCCCCCGACAGCTCTGAGGAGGTCAGCGCCCTCTTCTTTTCACCTGAGAAGCTGCAGCCTGTGAGCCTGGCGTGGGTTGCTGTGACCTTCAGATGAAGACCACGGCCGCCGGCTGTGTTGACAAGGAGGTGCTCTGACTAGAGCAGAACTGGGGAAAAGCCGAGCTCGGTCAGCTGATCCTCTCATAGAGCCATTTGCCGCTTATGATGTTCTGCAGGCTTTTTCAAGGAGTTGTTTGGCGATGCCCACTCAGAGTACATGAAAGCAGCCAGCAATTTGCGGGACCATTATCGCTTCGGGCATACCAACGACGAAGAGCTCGTGAAGAAATACGAGCCCGATGGCGAGTAAGTGTTCCAAGCATTGTTCTTTTTCTCCTGATTCCTTCCTTAAAACGACGTTAATAGGAATGTATGGAAGTCAATACTCTTACTTCAAAGCTTGCTCTCAAGTGATTTTGCAATATGTTACTTCTGAGCATTCTCGGAAAGAGAGCTACCCGTTCAAGGCAAAAAGACTGTGCTTGGGCTGTTACGGTGATGTTGGGCTGAGCTTAAAGAGCACCGGGTCTGTTGCATGACGTGGCTCTCGGTGTAGCCAGGCTTTGCATTGGGCAACTCGCCTTGCAGGCCAGCAGGCCCTACTACCTCCCGCTCAGTCATGGCAAAACCCTCAGCAGACTCCCAGCCCCTTTGGAACTGATTCCTGCTTGTTTATCTTGCTGCTTGTAGGGAACAGGCATGTCAGAGCTTGAGGTGGTTGCTGACTGTCAATTAGTTTTCCCTTTGGGGGTTTGCCTAACTGGCTCAGGCACTTGCTGGCTTTATGAGCAGAAAGCCTGCTTTGGGAGAGCCTGCAGCCAAAGTTGGGGGCCTCTTGGGAAAGGTAGGCTTTATTCCCCTGCCCGCTGGTACTCAGTTTCTATTTATTGGACTTATATTCCTGAGAATGGGAGCAGGAGTTCACCGTGACTAACTTTTCACAGGGGCTTCATCCTGTTCCGACCGCAGCACTTATCGAACAAGTTTGAGGATGACCTTGTGCGATATCCAGAGGACAAAATTACTACCGGCAAGATCAAGAAGTTTCTTCAGGAGAACATGTGAGTGCTGCAGCCCCTCCACAGATGTGGTGCCTCTCTGGCTGCCTTGGGAGCTGCCTGCTAACCAGACGGGGATGTGCATGGATGTTCTTTACCTTCTAGCTTTGGCATCTGCCCGCACATGACAGAAGACAACAAAGAGTTGATCCAAGGGAAGGACCTGCTGGTGGCTTATTATGACGTGGATTATGAGAAGAATCCTAAGGGCTCCAACTACTGGCGGAACAGGTAAGCCCCTTTCCTTACCCATCCCTGGGGAACAGAAGCACTTTAGGGTTGAAGTTGAGTTACTTCCCCCCACCCCAGATGCCCCAAAACAAAAAACCAGCAGCAACAAAACCAATAAATTGGAAGTTGTTGAGTTTTCTGGAAAACAGTTTAATCAGATAGCCTTCCAGCGCAAATGTTAGAACTCAATTTTGTTTGTAGTTTTAAAGAGAAGTTCATGGTAAACCTACTGTTTGGGCCACAACAGTGATGTAGGTTCTTCAGAGGAATTCCATGAATATTTAAAAGCGAAACTGCTGGTTAAAAAAAATAAACTATGCCTAAGTGTTGCATTCATACAAGTTAAAAAGTGTTTAGTGACTATGTTTATTTCAGAACTCTTTTTTAAATTTTTGTAATGATGTGGCGGTCCTTTATGTGATTTACTTAGCCCTGAAATCTGGTTGACATGTTAAAGTTAGTACACCAAGCAAACTACATGGAATACCTCATGTTCTGTCCAATTTAACTTTTGTTGGGGTATGTTTTCATTGTACACATTGTGTGTGATCAGTTGCACTGTTTAGTTCAGCTTCAAATCTTACGTGGCACTATTTTAATCACAGGAAATTACTGAAGAAAATATTTTGCTTGGCTGCAGTGCTTTTGTGACTGTTTTGCAGTGGAAATCATTTGAAAACCCTCTCACTTAAGTGGAATACTGTCTCTGTGTTACTGTAGAGTGATGAAGGTAGCCAAGGGCTTCCTGGATGCAGGACACAAGCTCAATTTTGCTGTCGCCAGTCGAAAGACCTTTGGCCACGAACTTTCCGAGTTTGGACTTGACAGCTCCACTGGTGATGTTCCGGTCGTTGCTATCAGGACAGCCAAAGGAGAGAAATACGTCATGCAAGAGGAGTTCTCGTAAGTGGAGCCCTTCGCCCCGCGTTTCTCTTAGCAGCGGCTTCTTTCCTTAGTGTGGTCTTGCCCCTCACATCCCCCATGTCCTTGCAGGGTGGGAAGAAAAGTACCTCGTTGGGGAGACATAATGATCAAACCTTTTGTGGTGTGATCTGATGGAAGGGTGATGCCTCATCACACTGAATCGTTTCAGTTTGCCAAGAAGGGGGAAAGACCCAGTGCAGCTGGTGGGAAGGGACTTGTATTGCCCCCCCACCTCCATGGCTTTGGGGAAGCACAAACACAAGCTTGAAAGAGTTCTCTGGTTTTGTTTGCAGCCGTGATGGGAAAGCCTTGGAAAGGTTTCTTCAAGACTATTTTGATGGGAACCTGAAAAGATACTTAAAGTCAGAGCCCATCCCGGAAAGCAACGATGGGCCGGTGAAGGTGAGAGGGGCGGACACGTTCTGCACGTGGATTACGTCGGGGCTGGGACTGGCATGTTTGCCATCTTAAAAAGTCCACAAAATTCCTTTCCAGCCTTTCATGTCTCCCAAAGGCTCTTGGGCAACATCAAGTTTAAATGTGCTTAGTTTGTGAATGAGCAGTTTTTAAGAATCACTTTGAAATGGGGAATAGCATGCCGTTAGGGAAGGGGGGATGTGAGAGTCGACACTGTGTGTCGTCAAGCTAGTAATGAGGCTGGGTCTCGTTCCTGCCGCAGCCAGTCTTCTGGCTTTCTGAGCCTGTGTGTTCCTTCTCCTTCAGGTGGTTGTGGCTGAGAATTTTGATGAGATTGTAAACGCTGAAGGCAAGGATGTCCTTGTGGAGTTCTATGCCCCGTGGTGTGGCCACTGCAAGAACCTAGAGCCCAAATACAAAGAACTCGGGGAGAAGGTAGGCCTCCAGGGCTGGAGAGTGCCGTTGGCATGCTCTGGGGAAGACTGAGTGGCTCTTGCTGCTTGATGTGTCCTGGCCGGCCAGGCCACTGATGCCTCCCGGAGCATGGAGCAGCGTCAGGAAGCCTGGAAGACTCCTTTGTGGCTGTGGTGGCGGCGGCTGCTGCTGCTGCTTTCAGAGCTGATGACTGGCTTTCCCTTCCACAGCTCAGCCAAGACCCAAACATCATTATAGCCAAGATGGATGCCACAGCCAACGATGTGCCTTCACCTTATGAAGTCCGTGGGTAAGAGCCAGCTCTGGCCGGGGGGGTGGGGGCTGCACCCTGTCAGCCTGTTACTTCTGTGTGTGTGGCGATAGGGAGGCATCTGCCTTCAGATGTGCTTCTGGGACTGGCGTCGTCATCGGCTGGAGTGCCTGTGTGATCGGCTGCTAGTTTCAGGCCTCTTTGAGCCTCACCCCACCTGGCAGGGATTTGGGATGCCCATGGAAAGGGTCTGCCTAAGCAGTCTTTTGCTGCTCTTCTTCACAGGTTCCCCACAATATATTTTTCTCCTGCTGGCAGCAAAGATAGTCCAAAGAAATATGAGGTAAGTTGTCTCGCTCACTTGCATTGGGTTTTCTAGAGCAACATGACAGGCATCTTTTCTGCTCAAATTGGGGGTGGGAAATGGTTTCCCAGTCCAGTATCATGGAACGGCAACGTTCCCAAAGGACATTGCTCTCCCTCAAGGGGTTTTGGATTTATTTTGGCAGGGGGGTCGCGAGGTCAGCGATTTCATCAGCTACCTGAAGCGGGAGGCCACGTATCCGCCCATCCTGCAGGAGGACGAGAAACCCAAGAAGAAGAAGAAGGCTGCTCCCAAAGAAGATCTGTGAGGGGGCTTGGAACGGCCTTGTCTGCAAAGGAGCCCAGCAGCTGCGGAGGGAGGGCGGGCCGGCCAGGGCCAACTGTGGGGGCCGCGTCCGCTGTTGAGAAGCGAAGCCACTGTGGGGCAGAAGGGGGTCCCACTGCACCCGCCGCTTTAATTCCCCGGCCCCTCGTCTCTTAGCTGCATTTGCCTCGGAGGCCCTGGACTGGTTAATGTTTGTGGGTGGGGGAGGGCTTATTTTCTAATTTTTTGTACATTTTGAGGAGTGAATCAATAAATGACCCTAGGCCCCAAACTGCATTTGTGTCACGCACGGACGCACAGACACGTGGCCTTTCAGTGGGCAGCTGCTTCCTTCCTGCCCTGCCCCCAGGAAGTGGGGGAGGTTCCACCCTCCTGAGGCTGTTGTGGCCTGGCTGCACTCTCTACCACAGCTGCCCACCTGTCGCGTTCCCTGCCTGGGGGAGGAAAGGGGTGTTTTTCAGGCCCAAGTCATGGGAAGGGAATATTTCCCACTAGATGGAAGCAGGCATTGTCGGGGGCTAACCAGGAAACACCAGAGTGGGAGAAGAGGTGGGTGTATTTCTTCAGCGGTTGGTCCAACCGCATTGCTCTAGTCTTCTGCTTGTACGAGATGAAAGCTGTCCATTACTGGTCTTGCAGGACATGTGTGCCAACTGAAGCTGTACATAGAACCGTATGACTCGGGCATCATCATCGGGCACTAGCTGTAGGAAGGAAGGGCCCTGTGAGGGCACCTGCAGCCCACATTGCAGTTAGTTGGGTGGGAGAGGTTCTTGCCTCTCCCACTTGGTCTGCTCGCCAAGGGCACAGATGGGTGCTCCTTGCCCTCGATTCTGTCCTTGAACACCTCCAAGGTGAGCTCTCTTTTTGTGCTTTGGCTGCGGCTAAGATGAAGAAGCGAAAGGATTCTGGTCTTGCAGCCCCAGTGCCTGCCTCCCAGTCAGGTTTTCTGAGAGCTCACGAGGCTTATGAAGTTGGAGGTCTGCTGAACAAGCAAGCAGGCCGCCTCTCCAGCAAGCCCGTCCACCTGCGTCCGGGCTGGAAGGTGGCAGACTTGGCCACCTTCGGGGCCACCCCGTAGCCCCCGGGAGCAGCACCTTATGCAGAGATAGCTTCATGGGGGCGATGGACGGAAACTCTGTTTTGGGCAGGTGATGCCTTTCCTGCCATCTGGCATGAAAAGAGAAGTAGGCCTGCAGACTTTGGCTTCAGTCCTTTGAAGGATTCACAGATTTTTTTTTCCATAGAAGGATGATGACCAAGTTCCTCCTGGAAGGAAGAGGGGGAGGAGTGGTGGCTGCAGAAGGTGCCTGGGCCCTTCTGCTCTTCCTGCCGATGAGGAAGAGAGATCTTTTGGAGGGGGTGGGCCTTGCCCTCAAAGCCTTCCTCCCCTCCTCCCTTCCCCTTAAAAAAGGGGTTTGCCTCCCTAGGTGGGGGAGAGCACCCCAAGAAAGGCCAACAGGTTTATCTCCTTGGCCAGTTTCCAGAAGGAGAAGAGCCCGGGTGGGCCAAGTGCTTGGGGTCAAGAGGCACCAAAGCCTGAAGGGGCAGCCAAGAGCGGGAGGGAGGGAGGGATGGAGGCTCACCCCTAGCAGCCCTTCTTGCTGGGCTGTCTGTGGCCCTGTATTTGAGCAAAGGGGCGGAGGAAGAGGAAGCAAGAGTGGAGGAGTCCAGGGCTGTGAGGTGAGCCTGAAGGGGCAGCCAAGAGCGGGAGGGAGGGAGGGAGGGAGGGAGGCTCATCCCTAGCAGCCCTTCTTGCTGGGCTCTCTGTGGCCCTGTGTTTGAGCAAAGGGGCAGAGGAAGAGGAAGCAAGAGTGGAGGAGTCCAGGGCTGTGAGGTGCCCTTCCATAAAAAGCAAGGAAGAGTGGCCCCTTTTGTTCCCCCTCCCCTGGAGGCGAGGTTTCTCTCCGCCAAAGTCAACAGAAGAAGGAGCCAGCAGGGAAGAGTAAATGGAGGCCTGGTGTGCTTGCTGTTCCCCCTGATGCTTGTACTGCCGTTCTGCCCTTGAGGTTGCTGCTCGCATCGAGCCGTGTTTGTGGCAGGCAGAGGAGAGCTGCTTGGTTGGGGAGAGTCCTGAATTCCCCCACAGGATGGCGCCATAGCCACCTGGGTCCCTGGGCAGGGGAGTTGCTGGGTTGTCCCCCCCCCCCCCCCGTTCGAGGTCCAGAGGCTGCCCTTACCTCAGACGCCCTGGGCTGCTTCGGCAGGTCAAGCAAGCAGCCCGACCAGCTTGAGGACTTCTCGAGCTTCCTTGCCTGTGCGTCTCGACCGTCCCTGAAGACCAAAGGGCCGCCCTTGAAGGCTCGCCCGAAATGCGATCTGGCCGTTGTCCCAAGACCAGTCTCTCCCACTTAGGGCTACCTGGAGGGCAAACCCTCCCCCCCCCAAACGAGCAACTGCTGCAGGGCTGAGTCGGTCAGTTTTAAGCAAAAGAAGTGGAACCTGCTCACGAACTGGCCAATGGGAGGGGCCTGCTCTCCTCCCCCCCCCCGCAGCCACCACCCCAGGAGCTGTCCAGGGTAGGGGGTCCCTCTCCCTGCTGAGACGGGTCAGCAACGTCTCTGCAGACCTGCACGGGCCGCTTGCTCGGAGGCCATCCACGGCCAGGCGGCTCTCCCTCTGGCAGCCCCTCTGCGGGCGAGGGCCAGGTGCCCGTCTGGTTCCCTTTCTTGAGGAGGCGCTTGCTGGAACTGCCCCGGAGAGACCTTCCGGCCGCTTGCTTCCCAGAACCTCTCCCGGCGAGGAGACCGTTGGGCTTGGCCCCTCTGCTCCAACCCTGTTCCGGGCCTGGCCCCTCACTCACGGAAGGAGAGGAGATCAGCCCCCCACCCGCACGCTGGGGCTGGCTGCTCCCAAGTGTGGACGATGGACGCGCAGGGCTGCGGGGGCCGGATGTCCCGGTTGCGTGAGCGGGGCTCTTGATCTGGGTGCTTCCTCCAGCAGCCACCCAGGGCAACCCAGGACAACGGGGCCAGCCATGTGCCTCGGGGCACTAAGCCTATTACCTCCCAGGATCTATATGAGGCTGTAATCCACCCAAGGAGGCGTCTGAAAGGGCTAAGATGGCCGGCCCTTCCTGCTGGGCCTCCAGGCGGGTGGCTCCCTTGGGAAAACCTGTTCCCACCAAGCGCCTCTGCAGGCAGAAGCACTGGTCAGGATGGGCTCCCCTGAGCTACAGCCCCCACGGGGGGGTCAGGACATCGCATTGCACCCATGAGAGCATGCAGGCGCCCCCCCCCCCCAACAGAGCCAGCCGGAGGCCCAGAGTTGAGTCCTCAATCGATTTGACAAAGGGGGGAAAAGAAGGCAAGGGCAGAAGGAGATCGGCCGCTCAGAGGATGCAAGATGAAACAAGGGCAGCGGGGCTCTCTTGCCCCTACACCTGGAAGAGAGCATGCGTTGCAGCCAGAGTGTACAGAGGGCTTACTCTAATCCCCCTGTAAATGCAGTATAATTGAATTAGCACCCACTCTGGGTAGCTGGCCAGCCAGTTGGCCGCTGGCTCGCTGACATCCTTTGCTGCTAGCCTGGCCGGGCCGCCCCAGGCAGAGACCAGCGCGGCGCCCCGAGTGGGCCCGATGACCGGGGCCCGCTTGGCAGCCACCTTGGCCTTTCTGGAGATGCTGCAGGGGACGGAGAAAAGGGAAGAGCCGAGGGGTGCCCTCCAGCCAGAGGGGCGGGAAGGAGAGAGCAGCCAGGAGGAGGGCGGGGGCAGCCCCCCCTCACGGCACCGGCGGCGAGTTCAGTTCCTGCTGCCCCACACAGTCATAGAGGTGCCCCCGCCCCAGGAGGAGGAGAGGGCCTTCTACCAGCGCCTGGAGCGCCTGCTGGGGCCGGCCGGGACAGGCGGCTTTCAGGAACTCTTTGCTGCAGATGGCTGGGAAGACCTCGCAGGTGAGAGAGCTGGGAAAAGGGGGGGCAGAGGAGGGGAGGGGGCCACAGCCGCCACGGTGGGCTCTCCTGCAATGTTCTAGCAAGCCAGGCCACAGCAACGTGGAGGCAGCTTTTCCTGTGCCCAGCAGTTTCTGCTTGGCATGGAGACGTGCTGGGACTTGGGAGCCCAGCTGAGCCCTTCCTTGGTGGGCCCCCATCCAAAAGGCACAGCAAAAGGAGGGTACGGGACCCATTCACTCTGCACCGTCCAGGTGGAAGGGAGGCTGCCCCCCCCCCGCAGCACCCTTAAATAGTTGCCACGGGGCCTTTCTGGAGCTCCTTGCAGGGCGTAAGAGACTTATTCCAGGTTGCCCCCAAAGTCTGGACCACGTGCGCCTTTTTTTCCCTCCGTTCCTTTTTGGCTCAGCCCGTCTACTGCGAGAGGAAGGGCATGGATGGATGATGGGCTTTGCTTGGGCACCGTAGAGCTGTGGCTGACCTCTCTGGTATCCTGAGGGCCAGAGAAGGGAGGAGGGGGCTCCCTGTGGGAACCCCGGGTCCCCGAAGAAGGAACAGGATCTCTTGGGGTGATCCGCAGTCCCTGTCAGGATAGGAACAGAACGGTCTGCAAGCCAAATGGAGGGAAGCCACACTCTAAAGCGCTTCCGCCTCGGACAACGTTTTCGGCCAGGCAGGTCGGGCTCCGAAAAAGAAGGGGTGGAGGAGCAGGCGGAGCCCCACCCCCCACCCCACCCCTGGGCAGCATCCACGGCAGGGGCCGGAGGGCAGGGCCGCCCTCAGAAAGGCCAGGAGAGCAGCTGGCCTTCCCGGCCTCTGCCGGAAAAGGCCGCCCCCCCGACCTCGCAAGACGTGGCTGAGATGCCCCCCCCTTCCCATTTTTGTCCCCCAGAGGGCAAGTGCCTGAGGAAGCGGCTGGTGAGGGGGGCCCCGGGCGAGAGCCGCCGACCCCAGCCGGGCCAGGAAGTGACGGTGAAGCTGCTGGGAGCGCTGGAGGACCTGAGCCTGGTGGAGCGGGACCCCTCGCGGACCTTCGTCCTGGGCCAAGGAGAGGTGGTCCAGGTCGGTCGAGGCCCCCGGCTGGCCGTGTTCCCCTGGGCTCTTGGCCAGAGAGGGTGGTGCGGGGGGGCCTTTGGAATGGAGAGCCGAGGGCCCCCCCCGCTTGCCTTTATCCTCCCGGGTCCCCTGGGTCCATGTCAATCCTCCCCCCAAAGGCCTTCACCAGAGGCAGCCCCTTCTGGGCTCCTTCTTCCTGGGGGGCCCATAAGCATCGCCTGCGCCAGGCTGTCAGCTCCAGGAGAGACCCAGGTGGCCGGGGGGGGGCCAGTGTGTGTGTGTGGAGGGGGGGCAGTTTGTTGCTCCTGCTCCCGGTTAGAGGAGTGGCAACTGCCCACCTGCTGTGGGGTCCTTCCTCCCTGCGCGGGGCTTGGTGGTCTCTCCCCTTCTGCTCTCATGCCCCCTCTTGAGGGGGAAGGGCCGGCAGGGGTCGGGTGGGGGGCTTTCCCT